ATATATATTGTATATAAAGTACACACTGCATGGTAAATCTTTTTCCATTTAATAAGCAAAGCATTTGAATTAAAATAATATTTATGAACTGATACTTTCACAGCAAACTTTGAGTGAAATACTTCTACAAGACAAACAAAGGTAATATTGAATACTGACTAGGTTTTTGCTTTGTTTGGGGTCAAAAAGACCTTTTAAAGAATCTATGTACTATTCTTGGAAGATATTTTTTATAAGACTATCCAATTCCTAAGTCATTTTTCACTCAACAATTAATAAATACATTTGATACTTGCTGCCTTCTGCCTGCCACAAACTCTTTCTTCCTGTGATGCCTCTCTGGCATGCCACCCTGCTTTGGAGCCAGTCAACTATGGCTAAAACTTCTACAAACTATGAGTCAAATAAACCTTTCCTCCTTTTAAAACAAACAAACAAAACCCCCCAAAACAATAAATAAAACACATTAGCCTTTTAAATAAGGTAAGCACTAACTTCAAAAAACTAACCATTTCTATTAAACTTTATTTTAATGAGAATTTAAACTGTAGCTGGGTTAATATACTTGCTTACCTGTACTTCATCCCAAAGGTTTCCATAATGTATGCAATAACAAAGGCAGCACTAAAGAAACAAGGGGAAAAATTTTAGAGAACAATTCATTAAATAGAGGAGAAAGAAAGGTTGTCTCTAACTTCCTACCTTCTAGAGATCCCTGCATTTCCATGGACAAGAACTTTTCCTGAAAAAACAAGAAATGGTTATTCTCAGAGAAACACTTAAGCCAGCAGCTAAAATATACTGTTAATTGTTTGTGTCTAGATGTCTCCCCAAAGCCTCATGCAGACTTAGATGGGGCTTTTTCAGGGATGGCTGAATCTAGAGTGTGTGATGCTGGGATTAAGGGCAGTGGTTACCAGATCAGTCCACTGATTGGTTGGGAACCGCCCTAATAACAGTAGCCTAGATAAGAGTATAAAAGGGGCAGAAATGTGCTATTAAGGTTCCCCTATTGCTTTTGCTATCTTCCACCACCAAGAACTGCTGCCTCTCTGCCATGCCACCCTGCCTTGGAGCCAGCTGATTACAGACTGAAACCTCTACAAACTGAGAGCTAAATAGGTCCTTGCCCCTTTGACTTTTGGGTGTCTCAGCAATAAGAAAAGTAACTAAGAGGCAGAGACTGTCTTCACACCACAGCTGTCTTTCCGTCAACATTTTCTATCCTATATATGCCAGTAGGATATTTACTAATTTTCAAGTCTTTATTATATAGAGAATACAACAGACTTTTAAAGAAATGTAAAGCTCACAGAGAATCTGAAAATAGTAATATATTTTTTTTTTGGTTTTTTGTACCGAAGATCGAACTCGGGACTTGGTGCTTACAAGGCAGGCAGCGGCACCACTGAGCTACATCCCCAACCCTGTATCTAAATGAAATGAGTAGTTGGCAAAATATAAATTTTGGAATATTCTATTATATGTAACTACAATTTCCCCGTCCTCCACTTAAGAAAACTACCAACTAAAATATAACTATACAAAGAACCTCCTCAAAATAAACACTAGCTAAATATAAGAAATATGATTTACCTCCAGTTTGTAAGCTCCCATCAATAAATTCCTTAGTCTGAAGGCAAAAAGAAAATATGTAGATTAATATAAACATAAAATAGTGAGAAAATAAAATCCACAGGAAATAATTTCCTGCTAACTTATGGAATAAAAATTATCTTAATTCAAGATTTCTAAAATGCTACAAATACAACTATTAAAAGTTTTTTTAAAAATTATGTAGAAGCTAAACTTAATTTGAAAAACCTTCTACAAATAATTTACTGCCTTTTTAAAAAAGTAACCCTGCAGTGTTAGATAATAAAGTAAAAGCAGAAAGTCTTAGGATAATTAAGAGGTCAGATCATAAATAAATTTTAAATGATACTAAAATATTGATACCTACCATAGGGAAAAAACGTATTATATTTTCCACTGGATTATCTGCAATATCCAAGACTAAATATCTGAAAACAGAACATGTTGTTATAAGCACTTTCAGATAAAAATAAAATGTTCATATATAAAAAAAGTTCAAATATTTCTTGATAATCATGAAAAGAACACAAAAATAATTATTGAAGTATCACATTTCCAAGAACTGGGTCACAGACTTTTATACTGCCTAATGGAATAGTACTTAAACCCTTAAATAACAGGTTAACATTTCTCTAATATTTTAGTATAAAAAAAAATCCATCTAGTTAAAACAGGAAAATAACCAGCAGGAAAGAAACTTCCCTCTCGGTAAGAGCAGACACAGTAGATTACATTCTTCCATGCTGTTTCAGGTAGAAACTTCAAAAAATTCAGGGGTCATACAATATATTTTGGAGTACACTGTATTTATGCATATTTATAGATTACATTATTTGTTTTTTATTTTTGTGGTACTGGAAAGTAAGCCAGAGCCTCTGCAATGAACAACATCCTTGGTCCTTTTTTATTTTCATTTTGAGACAGGGTGTCACTTAATCACTAACTTGTCCATGCTGGGCTCCAACTTCAGATCCTCTTATATCAGCTTCCCAGAGTACTGGGATTACTAGTGTGCCACCACGCCCAGCTTGCATTCATTTTTATAAACAATAGAGGGAAGCATTACAATACTTTTAACAGATGCTTTTATACAGTATAGAATACCTCTACAAAGGTACTCAAGGAGCATCAAAAGTAGCTGCCTCCCAGGATAAAACTCAGGTGGCTGGTGCACCCTTTTACCTTTATTCATGTGTACCATATTCTTTTAATAATGAATTTAAAATAATACTTAAAAAACATTAGATATTCAACTGTACTTTAGTAGTCATACTATAGCTTTATAAGTACTGATATGAAGCAATCTCCAAAAAATTAAGCTGAAAAATTCAGTGTAAAAATCAAAGTTTACCTATATGAATGTTTTTTGCTGGGTATGATGGCATACAACTGTAATGCCAGTACTCAAGGAGTGCGAGGCAGGAAGACTGCAAATCCCAGCCAAGCCCAAGTAACTTAGTGACTGAGGGAGACTTTGCATAATAAATTAAGTATGTGCTGGGGATGTGGCTCAGTATGAGGCGCTGGGTTCAATCCCCAGGACTAAAATAAGGAAAAAAAAGAGAAAAAAAAGCTTGTATATGCACTAAAAAACCCAGAAACGCTGCTCAATTATTCAAAAAGGAGGTAATAACAGATTCCTCTAGGTATAGAAACTGAGCAACTCAGAGCTAAAAGAAAAAACTACCTTTTAATACATATTCTTTTAAACCTTTAAATTCTGCATTCTGAAAATGATTAAACGTTTGAAATAAATTTTACTTTGAAAATTATGTACCACATAGCCCACCTTTACAAAATAAATATGCAGACAAATGTATAAAATGAAGTTGAAATAAAAACTAGATTACGTGTTTACTATCCTCAATATTTTTATAAACCACAGCAACGATTCCTACCTAAATAGTTGTTGAAAATTTGGTTTAATAAAATTTGCTTCAATATTTTGTCGTATGCAAATTATATGAGTTATTCCATGTTTCTCTAGTATAGGTAGCTGTAGAAAAAAAGTGGGGGAGAAGGGAAGAGAAACAGTTTAACATACAAGTCATTTTACTCTAACACATTCCAAAATACACAGGACCTACTTCTGAGCCAAGCAGAGGGTTAAAGCTAATTTTATGACAATTCACTTGAAATGATCAGTCACATAGTTCAATGATTCAAGATTAATACATTAAATGTCTTCAAAGGACTAACAACAATATTTCATGTCTATAATTCTAGAGCTCAATGAGATCTTAAAAACAATTTACTTGGAAAACAGCAGTATATAGTGGTTAAAAGCACAGGATTTGGAATCATGAGAATTCAAGCTACAATCCTCGGTCCTGCTAAGAGCCTGACCTCATTCATTCTTAGTTTCATCATGGGAAAATGGGAAAATACTACCTATTAAAAGGCTGGTTGTTATAATCATATAATAATTTAAAATTTTATAACACAGGGCCAGGGACTTAGTGGCCCAATGAGCAGATCATGTGGCATAAGAAATCAGAAAAACCCTGCATTTTCTATAATACCTTCAACTTACAATTCTAAATATTTTAATTCCCACTTTCTGTATGAAATAAACCGGAATGACAGTACTATGACTTCAGGACAAAAGTCATTAATTCATGTGTGTTATGAACTGAATGTTCACGTCCCCTCCCAAGATTTATACAGCAAACCCCCAGGGTAGTTAGTATTAGGAAGCTGGCCTTTGGGAGAAAATTAGGCTTCAACAAGGACATGAAGCAGAACCTCCATGAAAGGTAAAAAAGAGACAAGGGGGCCAGGGATTTAGCTCAGTGGTTCTGGCGACTGCCTTGCAAGCGCAAGGATCTGAGTTCAATCCCCGGTACGAAAAAAAAAAACAAAAGAGAGAGAGAGAGAGAGACAAGGACTTGCACTGTTGACCATGTGAGAATACAGCAAGTAGGCAGGGCTCTCACCAGAACTGGACTGACTGATTTCCCAGCCTCTAGAACTGTAAGAAATCAATGTCTGTTGAAGCCATCCAGTCAATAGCATTTTTAGAGCAGCATGAATGGATTATGACAATATAGTTTGCAGAAGTTTTAAATGTTAATTGTTGCAACAAACTTTATTATGTCAGAAGAGATTAGAGCTAAATATCTTTTGTTTCCTAAGTACACCCCAAGTAGAAAGAAAAGAATTTGGTAGGATTAATAATTATCAAGTGGTTTTATATTCACATTTATGCCAACCTCTAAACTTAATTCAACATTCATTCCTTTGTTTATACTTACTTACAGGAGTTTTCAAACTACCATATTAATTTGAGAAACTACCAGAGGACATATAAAAACATGTTTTAACAAGTTTCAGTGGCACTCTGGACTGTCACTGAGTAAAGAAAATCTTATCAAAATGGGAATCAAAGTAATAGCAAACAGAATATTTTTTTTACCTTAAGAGTTTGTTTATATAAAGCAAATTATGAACTTAACTTATAACTATAAATGGAAAAATTTTATAAAAGAAATAATTTCACTACTTATCAAGAAACTAAATTTGTCGCCTTTATTTAATCTGAATTTGTCAAAAGGCATTTATTCCCAAAGGTTTCTCTTCAGCCTTATTTTTTTGTTGTTCAAAGATATTATTTTGGGATGACAGTAAGAAAAGAAATAGGGACTGCATTATAGTGACTCAGGGTGGGACAGAAAACACTGCCATAGAAGTTTTCTCAAATTTAAGAAGTCCAAATGAAAACTGAGGAAGGAGGTCTTGAGGAGAGAGCGCAATGGGAATAAAAAAGCAAACTACAGTCATCTTAAAGGCTAGTGTTGGGAAATAACTTTGTTTACATTTGTCTTTTATAAAATCACAGCCACATTTAAATTACTTCATCTGATTCCCTTCCCTAGTGCTTATTGTTACAAACACCCCTTGTTTCCAACCTAGTTGTCAGAATTACTCTGTCATGCCCAACCATCAACAAACCTTTCAGTCTCAAGAGCAATCACTTTTTGAAAAGTGTCCAATCACCTAAAATTTGCTTGCATAAATTACATATCACAGAGATACCAAGCACAAGTATAGTGACTTCTGAATATTCACGGTATTAGGGAAGACCATTGCTAGACAATGTTTCACACATAACTCCGAGAGAATAAGTACCAGTCACAATTCACAGAGCTAAATCCTCTAGGAAGTGGCATGAACTTTGCTATACATATCAAAAGCAGATCTTCCCATTTTAACTGTGTAACTGAAGAAGTCTGCTACAGTTGGACTATAGAGAATCTATATATCACAATGCTTCCCGACCTATGTTACTCAGACTTCTTAAATCTGGAAAAACAGAAATAAGAGGAAACACTTTCAATTAAAAACACACACTTATCCTTGATAGAGAAAGGTTAAATGTTAAATTTCTGTACTTTGGGGTTTAATTATTATTGCATAGTGTTCAAAAGCTACAATTAACTATCACAGTTATTTAATATTTTTAGAGGGTAAATACATTTTTAAGTGTCAATCTTATTGGTTAACCTATTTTGTTTTGTTTTTTTCCCTCCAGAACTGGGGATTGAACGCAGGGCCTTCACAATGAGCTACATCCCTAAACCACCCCCACTTGAGACAGGGTTTCACTAAATCACTAAATTGTTTACATCAGGCTCAAATTTGTCCTCCTATTTCAACTTCAGAGCCCTGAGATTACACATATGCACCAACATGCTTGGCTTGATTGATAAAACTTCCGAACTCATAGATTTCCTGAGAAAAATAAAATATAAAACCTCATTTGTAGGTGTGATGGGGTGTAGCTGTCATCCCAGACTCAGGAAGGCTGAGGCAAGAAGACAGATAAATTCAAGCCCAGCCTGGTCAAATTAGTGAGACCCTGTCTCAAAACAAAACAAAAAACAAGGTGTGGGGTGTAGCTCTATAGTAGAGCACTGCCTAGCATGTTCTGGGTTTGATCCTCAACAGTACAAAATAAAGAAACTTAAAAATAAAAAATAAATCAATAAAAGCCTGGAGATATAGGAAAATAAATGCTGGGTTTAATCTTGGGTACTACAAAGAAGAAAATAAAAACTTTCCTTTGTGGTAAAACATTTAAGAACCACTGATCCAGTAAAATTGGGAAACAGGGTGGTACTATATAGTGATAATTACTGTTACTACATAGTATTGTAAGTGCTTCCTAAAATAAAAATTGTATTACTAAAAAACTTACCAGAGAAAGCTGGTTACTAAAGCTCTTGGTGAACCTAACCTAAAGTTCATACCTTGCTTTTCATAGCAGAAGAATAAGGGCCTAAGAACAATCCAGGTAAAATTTCCTAAGGAGAGAAAAAAGAATTACCATTAGCAATTTTGATCTTTACCAAATATGTACCACATCACTAGATTTGTGGGTTTTTTTCAATTAGAATTTGCTTAAAAATTTGTCATGTGGGGAAACTTTCCTAGCCACACCGTGTAAACGACTGGGAAGAGAAATGGAGATGCGCTCCAAAATGTTAAGGGAGATACTCCAAGTTTAAATGCAGTTCTGAAAAGTCTGATACTTGAACTTCCACACAGTGCTTTCTATAAGCAGTTCAGGTAGAACACAAATATCGTTGCTTTTAGGTTAATTAGACCTCCCTAATATCATTTCTACTCTCTGTGTTCTAAAAATTAAACAGCCATGAAGAAAATCCTTCCTTTAGAATTATCAAAAGTAGCACAAGATACAACAGGATCATAACTATTATCTATAGGTAATAGAAGCAAATTAACTATGAATACATAGTTACTTACGTATGGGACTGGTTTGTCCCACCAGCTTCTTTTACTCAGAAATTACCTTTTACTCATTTCTGCATGCCCCATACCATCAAATAAAATGCCTCAGATGTACTCAGATATTTTCTTAGAAGTTAATTTTCTTTTTTTGATTGGGGGGGATTGAACTCGGGATCAGCACAGCAGAACCACTGAGCTAAATCCCCAACCCAGAAGTTAATTTTCATTGAGAGAAAGATATGCAGTTAAAAGTTAAGAAATGAGAGACATGGCTTGATTCTGGGATGAGCCATGCAGCCAATGCAAAAGAAGAGTGTTGGTTATCACTTTAACTCATTCTAAAATCAAAGTAGTCTTTTAGGGACTTGGTTATGGATGGCTGGCTAGACAGACACAAAAATGAACAACCAGTCTGATTTGCTTCACAGTCAACACTCCTGAACTGAAGATCTAAGCCAGACAAACAGCAAACTGCTTGCAAAAAGGGATATAAATTTAGTATTCCATTTTTCAGATTTAAAAGTGACCACTTAAGTATGTGCACATGCGCACATATATTAAAAAGTCATTATTTTAAAAATTTAATGAAGAACCTAGACCAACAGGTCTCAAATCATTCATGAAATTAGGTTTTTATATAATCATTTGGGTTGACTTAAACGAAAAATTGCCATACCTGCATCTCTCGTCTCATAGGGTAGGTCCACTCCTTTACAAAGGAAAACACAAGAAGAATAGTAAGTAACATGAAAAATGTCTCCCAACTAAAGGCTTAATATGTGACATACAGAAAAACAGTTTTATAAAAATTATGTTACACTTAAAGAACAGTCTATAAGGCTGGAGATGTAGTACAAAGGGCTTCCTTAACATGCAAGAGGCCCTAGGGATTCGCAGCACCACAAAACAAAGACTATGAAACAGTAGATATGTTTGTTGATCAAAGTCAGATTATTTTTGCCTATGTAAGGCGGGGTAGGGGTTGCCTAGAAATAGATGAGATAATTTCTGTATTGACAGTGCAATCTGACAAAAAAGACACACTACATATCAGAGGAAAGATAATTCGACTATTCCTGAATTCTCAACTGTAAAAACAGAAACAAGAATAATACAAAGCAACAAAAATAAAATAATTATCAATAATAAATGCTTTCACAGAAAAAAAAAGTAAAAAGTCACCTTTCAAGAACAAGAGTGAAAGAAAAGATAACTAATACAAGCAGATTTTTATTTTAAGAACTCTTCTGAGATGTTCTTTGGAGAAAAGGTAGTATCACTATGTCTATTTTACATATCAATTTTAGGTATAGAGAACTTTGATTGTGAGCCCAGGTAGTATGAATCCAGAATTCATTCTCTTAGTCACTACACTATATAAACTTTCAATATGAAGAGAAACTTTATCACAAACATATATAAACAAATATTGACTGCATGAAATTACAATGATTCAAGAATTAACAGAATAGAAATAAAAGCCTATGATTTTCAAGCCACAAGAGAAAATATAATCAAACTGAATGTTTACCTGCTCCTTAACTTTCTAACATGGCATTTTTTTTTTAACCACAGGGAAGTTTCTTAAAACTTCGCCAAAATACTCCTTTCAGCCATAGTATCCCTAACATTGAGTACAGTGCCTTACACAGAACAAGCACACAACAGATGTGCATTATGGAGACCTAAAGGACTAGATTTTAGAGATCTTTTTTCAAGAAATCTAAAGGCTCACAAGCACAAGGACCCAAGTTCCATCCCAGTACCACAAAAAAACAAAACAAAACAAAAACAAACTAATGTCCAGCCTTTTCCCGAAGCAACCTGTCAGAGATACCAGACAGAAAAAAGCAATTAAAAGAAATGTGTGCTTCTGAGCTTAACTAAAATGAAATCATTAAATTATATATGATTTTTTTTTAAAAAAAACAAACAGGGCTAGAGGTGTAGCTCAGTGGTAGAGCATTTGCCCCCCCTCATGTGTAAGGCCTTGGACTGGATCTCTAGTAATGCAAAAACAAAACAAACAAAAAACTAAAAACAACAACAACAAACCCCAGAACCCCAGGGAAACATATATTCCCTGCATACATATATTCTGGAAAACAGCTGTGGAGAGGGAACCTATGAGGATTTGATTTGATAACCAAGCCTATAACTAAACATACAATAGGGAGATTAACAGGAGAAATTGTTAAGAGCTGGGGGTAAAACCAAAGCACCAGTGCGATTTAGGAGATTCTATATCTTCTTCATTGGCGAGAAAAGACATCTTGGAATAGTAAGTGATTCTGAGGAAAGATGAATGGGCCCCTGGAAGAACAGACGATGGATGGTCTGTGGCAAAGTCTGGGTATGGTGTCTGCTCTCACTCTGCTTTGCAAAGTCATCTTTCCATTATTGATCAAACTCCATGGAAAAGAACTGGTGACAAGGGAGACCCTTTTGGAGGATCTGTCTGTAGACAGGTAAGTGGAGTTCAGAGAAATCCATTCCTTGCACTTGCTGTTTTTCCAGTGCCTTAAACCCAAGGTAATCAATCTACCAATGCAACAGACTCTGTGGTGGCATTGCCTTTACTCCTTCAACTTGGCAATGTGCCAGATGAGACTCAACGCAACCATACCTGCACTTTTATTTTCTGGAATATTGATTTTTACCAAGCGATGGGGAGTGGCTACTAATTAAACTATTTTAAAATTAAAATCACCACAAACTTATAGAATATAATGGACTGTCTCTATTTATCAAAAAAAAAAAAAACTTACTACAGGAGTACACAGTAAAAGAAAATGGCCGAGGATTTAGCTCAGTGGTTCTAGAGCCTGCCTCAAAAGTGCAAAGACCTGAGTTTGATCCCTGGTACAAATAAATAAATAAAAATACAAGTTGTTTATAAAATATAAGAATTTTTTAAAAAAGAAAGTAAATGGAAACCTATCCCTACTCACAGGACAGATGAGCAGGCAGGCTTATTCGGGGGGCACCAGACTGTTGTACGAAGTACAGACCCCTTGAAACCCAGAGGTTTTATCCAAGAGACAATTTCATTTGGAATTACTCCTGTTGCCATCACTGAATCCTGATATCAAAGATCACCCTCTTCGCTGCCCTTACCATGTACTACAGTTTGCGTGTGGCTCCCAAGGTTCATGCACTGAAATTTATTCCCTCGATCAAGTATTAAAGGGTGGAAACGTAATCTGACTGTAGAGTTTAGAGGTGGGGTCTTTGGGAAGTGACTGGGCTTGGCTCAGATCATTATTAGGGTAAAGTTCCATGATTGAACCCTAAGGAAAAGGGAGGTCAGAAGATACAGACAGACAGGGGTGTGTGTGGGTGTGTGTGTGTGTGTGTGTGTGTGTGTGTGTGCACGCGCGTGCACGCACTCTTGCTACAGGATGTCCATCCTCACTGGGGGATTCTCCCAGCAAGAAGGCAATCACCAGATGCAACCAAAGCAAGCTGGGCAAGCCAAAATACTCACAACCCGTGAGATAAACCATGGTCTTGACAAATTATTTCATAAGCCAGGCACAGTGCTGCATGCCTGTCCTCCCAGTGACTCTGGAGATTGAGGTAGGAGGACCATGATCTCAAGGCCGGCCTGGGCAACACAGGGAGACCCCATCTCAAATCAAAGAATGAATGAATGAAAAATCATAAGTGAAAATCCCTCAGCCATATATCAAAATGCCCTTCAAGATCTCCTCACACCACACAAAGTTACATCATTTATAAAACTGCATTGGGACAATTTTTTTAAAAATGTTCAAAGACCCTGAAATAAATGTACCCATGAAGGACGTAGCCTATAGCCATTAAAGAAAATTTTAATTCTTTTTTTTTTTTTTGGTTTTTTGAGTCAGGGTCTCA